TTTTCTTAATCTTATCTTGTACCTTATATTTGCTGTTTTGAACAAAACATACTGTTAAATGTCCAGCTAAAAAAAAAACTGTTAAATGTCAAAACAACCCTAAAAGTACTACTTGTATCAATAATTCTGTTTTACTAGAGCTACCCTTAAATCAGTTTATGAGAAAAATTCAAGAGTGAATCTTCCATACAGTGCTGAAAATTGAAGGTGCCGCACCCATCATTCTCGTGTGCCAACACTTGAACATGTGAGAAATTTGTGGTTTCCAAATCGCCTTTTTCTGGGAAGGGGAGCATGTCACCTAATTTGATATGAACTAAGACTTTTTTCTGAATTATATCATATTATTTGGAGCAGAATTTACCTTTCAAGTGAAGACACTAATAACTTATACCTTGTTTTGTATTAGGTCGCAAGTCTTCTCCATGATGATGTATTAGATGATGCTGATAAGAGACGGGGGATTGGTTCATTAAACTGTGTAATGGGAAATAAGGTACTTACTCTTCTTGTTAACTTGAAATAATTTATTTCCCCTTTTTCTTCTTTGAATCTTTTGTCGACGGATGCTCCTATTCTCACCTAGTGTGTAGGTTTTGTTAATGAAACTAGTGTGGTTGGTTGGCTAAAACCTTGCTGATTCTTTCTCATAGTTAGCAAGGCAAGACACTTCTTGTAGTTCTTAATAGATGTAAATGATTTGAGTTAGATGATCTGTTTGCTAAGTGTTTGTAACAATTCTTCTTCCGTTGGGAAGAGAAAAGAAAACTCTCTCTTCCTCTCTGCATTTGTATATGGTTGCGTGTACGTTTCCATGCCCCCAAGTGCAGTGTAGGTATGCAGGACTTGGGAGTTGTTATTTCCTCCAGTGTTCTGGACTTTTGATCTTCAATTTCAAATGAGTCAATATATTCAGGTTCTTGTGAAAAGAAAAATCAAGAAGAATGTGGGCTTTGTTTTTTGATGCTTTCCTTTGTTATGCTGCAGATATCAGTATTAGCAGGGAATTTCCTGCTTTCCAGAGCTTGTGTGGCACTTGCCTCGTTGAAGAACACAGAAGTATACATTCTTTTCTTATTTTTCTTTTTATTGTTTGGGTGAACTTGTAAATGTAAATTAGCCAGCCTTGATGTTGGACTAGCTTTGCCAAAACAGTATGATTTTCTTTAATGAAAAGACAACGTAAGGACAGGCTGATGGCCATAACCAAGAATGCACGTCCAGTCTTGAATATAAAAGGCTTGTCAAAGTTTGGAACTTGAAGATTAAAAAGAAAAGAAAGAGAAGGAAAGAAACCCTGTTTCTCAGGTACTCATGCTTAAAGGAAAGATGCATCGCATTTCCACGTAATAGGCTCCATAAGATGCCTTTATTTGCTGCTTGAGAAAAGCGATAAATACCATGTATAGGCTCTTAGCACATGACCAATGTAACTTGCTGGTCAAGTAATCTCGGGAAATCAAGTCTCAGGACTCGGACTCTCATTTTAACCCATTATATCTGTGTTCCAATTTTGGTGAACCCGGAATCAAATGCTCTTCATGCCAGCTCACCCTTTTTGGAACATAAAACAACTTAAATACACCTATCATTATAGGCTATAGTTTAAAAAAAATCTATTTCAGTCAAATAGAATGGGTATCTCTGGACACCCGTAAAGGAGGAGTTGCAGGGTTCCATTCTTGTTTTGATGTGAGTGCATGTGTATTACACACCATTACTAGATAACTATGCCTCAAAAATATCAATGGAGCTTCCATGTTGGTTACATTTACAATGGGTGCTTGCGTACAACTAGGAAACCTATATATTGTTATAACATAACAAGGACTAAAAAATATCACTTAAACTTTCAACTTTGTACTGTTCAAAAAAAAAAAAAACTTTCAACTTTGTGAACTGCATAGGAGCTCTTTCCTTGAGATCAAACCTATTTTTACGAAGTTATGTTTTCATTGAGTGTCTCTTTCAAAGGTTTCCCATTGTTTGCATCAATCTTCTTGGGGACCTCCACCTTTCCATTATGGATGTACAGATTGTTGCCTTCAATTGCATCCATCTGATTCCATCTGTTACGTGCTATTGTCAACCAGTTGACACTCTATGTCCATTACTTTTCTGTGAACGAACATCTAAATGCTGAAAGGATCGAGTCCGTGATTGTACTTCTTTTCGTATGTTTCTGCAGGTTTTATCACTCATAGCAACAGTTGTACAGCATCTTGTTACAGGAGAGACCATGCAATTGACTACTACCTCTGAAAAGCGTTGTAGGTATGCAGTCTGCTACTGGTGTCATGTATTTTATTTAGTAATCATGTTATATACTACTAGATCAGCCTTGCACATCCACATGGACGTAATTGTAGAAGGCAGCAGAGGAACCATCTAAACTTCTTCCATCTTGTTACCATATTATCATCTCGTGCTTCCTTTGAGTTGGTCATGCAACTTTTAAAGTATTTGATCGGAGACATACATATGACTTGGCAATACAGGAGTTGAAATCAACATTTTGCTTATGCAATAATTTTTTGTTGTTTTTTGCCCCCAACAAGTTTTCCCTGTTTGTGCAACCTTGACCAGTGGAAAATCTTTGTGGATTATATTATATCATTTCTTCTATGTGAAAGATTCATCATAGATGGGGCGGCGGTCATGCAATCATCTTAAGGTAGGTAAATAGAGGAGGGTTAAAACATAAAAATCTTCTCTCCAAGAAGCGTCTTGCATTTTATTAATCAGATTCGAGAGCTGCCATCGCCACTTGACCACAAAACAAAATACTCCCATGGCCTCCATTATGACCATTCTAAAAAAATTATTCATTGGTTATCAGCCTTGCACCAACCCTTTGCTTCCATCTCAGAATCTTATCCAAATATAGTTTTCTTATTGGCGAAGCATTGTGTCACACCTCATAATTGTAAAATTACCCTTAATGAAATCACTTGCCTATGGTGGGTTGCATTTGTTTTTTCGTTTTTCGTTTTTTTTTTTGGGGGGAAGGGGGGGGGGGTGTTTCAGAAACATCCTTTTATATATGTCTACATTGTAGCCGAAAAAGAACTTGTACGTGTATCTCAGAGAGAGTGGGGAAAAAACTTCAATTTTTTTTTTTGTCACATTGGATTAAATAAATGAAGAAAGGGGAAAATATGTTGAACATTTGTGCTATTTAGTCAATTTGTCCAAAACTTTGGGTGAACTTTGGCCATACATGTTTAAACTTTAGTAGAGTTAAGCTTTCAAAAGATTTGAATGCCCAACCAATTTTACTTGGATCATGGTTCTGGTTCACTTTGGTACATTATACGGGTGCGATATATCACTTTTTTAAGTACGCGGTATGATGGATGTAGTCCTAGTTTGTATTGTGTTTTTGGGTCGTAACTCATTTTGGAACTCTTATATAAATCGTTTTTTCCACTATATAATATTATATATCATAGAATATCAATAAACAATAAGTCAGTTATCATTTATCTTATGTTTGTGCTCGATTTTCTATTAGCTAAAATAGTATATAATTATAAATCTATACACATGTAGTCAATTTATTTTATATTTGTGCTACATATTTCAAAGCGAATTGATTTTTAGAATTATAATTTGGGGTTATACATTTTGGTGATCTGCATCGTGAACTCATCTCATTTGAGATCGATATACCTAGATTGTGGGTCATCAGGAGTTTAATAACTTCTGGTAACCATGTGCCTAACTCTGGCAATATCTCAAAATTTTGGACAGTTTTTTGGTTGTTTCCCGACAATAGGGAAGAACACAGAAAGAACAAATTTGCCCCTCACACGAAGCAGAATAGAGCAGAGCATGAATGACTCTTGTTTTTTTGCTTCACATACGTAAAGGGTATATAGATTTTCTGTATTTGACAATTATATATATGTGTGTGTGTGTGTGTGTGTGTGTGTGTGTGTGTGTTTTAAACTTGCATTTCTAGTGTTAATGATAGTAGCACAAGTGATGACAAATGAAATCTTGCATTGTGATGGCTAATTTATTGGCCATTTATTAATGTTTAAACTTGCATTTCAAGGCTTCTTTTTCAATGAATTATGTGGAATCAATCACTTGTTGCAGCATGGAATACTATATGCAAAAGACATACTACAAGACTGCGTCATTGATTTCAAACAGCTGCAAGTCAATTGCTCTTCTTGCAGGACAAACAGCAGAGGTTTCAATACTGGCTTATGAGTATGGCAAGAATCTGGTGTGTAGTATTCTTCCAACGCATCTTGTATCTGTTGTAGTGTCCAAGATTAAGTTTATTATATTGAATTCTGGGTTTTTATTGGCTGCATCTGCATGGACAGACAAATTTAGAAAGGTCAACAGAAAGTGAATTTTATATTTTACTGCACAGAATCATGCTTCTGTCTCTAGTCTAAACTATAGTGTCGCCAGAATGGAAGTTTGTCCTTTCTTACTCTGAACAGGTGCTAGAGGGAATGTTTTTTTTTTTTTTGGGTGGGGGGGGGGGGGGTAAGAGTGGAATGTTAAGAATGAATTTCCAACAGAATATCAGGTCTCTTAGACACTCTTTGTAAGCTGTCTAGAAATCTTTCTCCTCTTACTGTAAATTGTTAGAATTCATTGTTACAGATGTTTGGTTTTTGAACTATGGGTAGTTGAGTCTGGCTTTATTTTTCTTTAGTGATTGTCTATAATGGCTGGCCAGACACATCACAATGTGGAGGACATTGCCATATTGTAGATTCAGCAACTACTTTTTGGTAAAATCACAGCAACTCCAATTGCCTTATGATTTGGCTTACATAAATGCAATGCGCTGGAAATAGCAATTATTGTAACTGTAATTATATCCAAATATGGTATATGCATTTTTACCCAATTTTTCTTTTGGACTAACTTCCGTCTCTCTGTCTTTCTATCTCCCCCTTTGCAGGGATTAGCATATCAATTAATAGATGACGTTCTCGATTTCACAGGCACATCAGCTTCCCTCGGGAAGGGCTCATTATCTGACATTCGCCATGTAATCTTTCTATTTTTTGCGTGTTATTGTTGTATTGGAATCTTGGTTGTCTCAGAGTTGAAAATTTTGACTGAAGCATTTGCTATATGGTTTGGCAGACAACTTTTTTGAGATCATTATGTTCTTTTAACTCCTTTTCATATCGGTTAGAATGAAGCACAATATGTCGTCAAGACTTGGACCCTGCACCTCCTCTGGGACAGTAGGAGATACCACTCAAAACTATTTGCTTGTAGGACTGCTATAAAGAAATATTCCTCGAGTGGCATAAGTTTAGGTTATCTGTTACATGATTTCCATCTTTTGAAACATATAGTATGTAATGCCAAGAACGTAGTAGCTGATATTAGATTGCTTATATTTCCTAAGTACTTGGTGTTGACCAAAATGACTTCTAAAGCGATCTCCAGGAATTAGGCTGCTGAGCTTGGAGCAGTTTTGATCTGACCAGTTTAATAGACCAAAATGACTTCTAAAGTGCCCTCCAGGAACTAGGCTGCTGAGCTGGAGCAGTTTGGGTCTGACCAGTCTAATTTATAACTTTCTTGGCAAGAGTAATTCTGAAGCCTGCTCTGTGAACTCTGCAACTTGGTGGAAAGCATCCGACAGAATGTTTGTATCAGATTTTTTTCCTTGGTACGTGAGAAACCTTGGTGACCCTTTGCACAAAAACTGCTCAAAACTAGTAAAACTTAGGTGTTTGGCACCCAATTGATATGTCCTCAAAACACCTTTTCTAAGTAACAAGTGCAGACTGACACTGTATTTGCTGTAAGTGTTCAATCAACAAGAGCTAGTTTGAAGGATTTTTTATACCTAAAAGAGTGTTTGCGAGGCCTCGAGTGTTGACGCCTGGCTCTGCCAGCTTAGTTTTGCAGGGGATATGGTAACTGTCATGGCAAGGCATCATTATGATGATGATAATAATAAAAATTAAAGCCAACCCTTTTTGCATCTATGCTTATTGGTTCTCTGTGTTTCGTAGGTTTGATGAAAGTATTTGATGTTATGGCAATATTATGTATGAAATTTATGTGAGGAGGCCTTCAAATGTTCAATTTTTGACCAATTTTAAGCATTATATGAGTGCTGTTTAATTTACAACTAGTGGAAGGCCCAGATTGCTACAAGTTTGTTTTGGACAACAAAAGAAAATATTTCCTCGATTGATGAACTGAAAATGTGTCTCTACACTATAGTGTTGAGAAACAGGCAGTAATGGAAGCAATTCACCCGATCTGAATTCTGTAACCCTGATTCTCAAGGATAGTTAATTTCTTTTTCTATCCTCCATGGTCATGTAAAATGTTTAACCATGTTCAAGTTGTTTTTTCTCTTACCATTGTGTATGATACTGTTACTTGATTTCACTGTTATATTTGTTCTTTCTGTTCTGTTAATTTCTTTATTGCTGGTTGAAATTCTGAGACTATTGTGTTGCATATGCAGTAGTGTTAGCTTTATATTGATCGCAGAATCTGTGATTCTATTATGGTTTACTGTTGGGATACTTGCAAAGATGCTGTTTGCATGCCTTGTAAAATGCGTTGAAAATGTCTCTCATGCATTTCTTTTTGTTAGATGTATTAAAATATTGTAATTTTATATTGGACATAATAATTTATTTGTTGTCAGGGACTCCTCATATTGTTTATGTCATAACTTATAAGAATAAATTGAGATCATCTGTCTTTTTTCTCATTCACATACAAGCATACAGCTGTTCAGTGCTTTGCATGGCCTTATACCTGTATAACTTACATGAATAGTATGTTTAAATGATGAGTTTTAATCGTAACATACAATAAAATAAACTTATTTTGCAGGGAATTGTAACAGCTCCAATATTGTTTGCCATAGAGGAGTTTCCTGAATTGCGTTCAGTTGTTGATCGTGGTTTTGACAACCCTGCAAATGTGGATCTTGTAAGTTCCTACATTACACTGTAAATAGCACGAAATTTTTAGTGCAAACCTATCTGTAGTGCTGGAGGTACAGTGTAGAAGTTGTGCAGATGTCCTATCGTTTAGCTATCAAACCTGTTCTGCACAAGTGGTAGGACCACATATGGATCTGCAGCGAAGAACTTAATGCAAATATAGGATTTTCCTTTTCTGTATTGAAGGTAATGTTAACCATATCTGCAGAGTGGCAATGCTGGTGTTTCTACACTTTTAAGCATAGTTATTACCAGTGTTATTTAAGGCGTTAAGCGAACCGAAGCGACCAAGGCTCTTAACGCCTAGGCGAGAAGCGAGAAGCGAAGCGAAACGATTTACCAAAGCGTAGCGAGCAGTTAAAAAAATAAATAAATATTTTAGTGTAATTACTTATATACATCAAAGTTTTAATTTTATATATACTAAATATTTAAATACAAGTAAAACCATAAACATTTAAAGTAAAACCATAAACATTTAAATTAAAACAAACACTAATAATATTGCAAATCTTAATAACAGTCATAGTTTAAACATTTAAATTCATACAAATACTAATAATATCCCAAATCCTAATATTTAAAAACATAAGACACATAATTCAAGCAACTAAAGAAAATATCTCAAGGACTTAGAAATCAATCCTCATCACTAAAGAAACCATCTTCTTCATTATCCTTAGATTCATATCCCTCAGTATCCTGCTCCTCTGCCTCATCTGAAATTATATCTTCCTCATCTGTGAGTCCAGTCGTCGATCTTGTAAACCTTGGTGTTGCCCTAGTAGATGGTATTGATCTAGTCCGTTGGCTACTTTCCGTAACTCTAGAAGCTCGAGCGACTTCGCCCCAAGTCAAAGTATCATCACCAAACACAAGCTCATTATCTTCATCTGTGTCTGCATCCATTCTCCCAATCAACCACTCATTGCTATCATCAATATCCTTCAAAGATATTGGATCAATTGTGTCACGAGAATCAAATCGGCGCCTCAAAGCTCTATTATACTTAACAAACACCAAATCATTGAGACGGGATTGAGCTAGTCTATTTCTTTTTTTGGTGTGTATCTGCAATAATTTATTAACAATACATTAAAATTTATAATAAGATTAAAAAAAAATGTAATTGAAGAGGTTTGAGGATGATACTTACATGCTCAAACACACTCCAATTGCGCTCACAACCGGATGCACTACAAGTAAGGTTTAAAACTTTTTTTGCAAAGGTTTGCAAATTTGGAGTTGCAGACCCATATGCACTCCACCAATCAGCTGTGAATAATGAATAACAATTAATTAACTAACATATTTAAGCAATGATAATGAAATAAGCTTGTGGGATAACATAGATTACCTGGTGCCCTAGTTGTTCTTTGTCTAACCGCCATGGGCAACTTAAAGAGGTTTTCACCTTTCATGTAAATACTCAACTCTTGACCAATTTTATCTTGTATCGCAGGATTTGAGACCAACTTTTCCAAACATTTATATAGGTCATTCATGACTTCTTGATCTTTCTCAACCTCTGGATTAGAATAGAAAAACTCTGGGTTCAAAAAATACCCAGCTGCATGCAAAGGCCGATGCAATTGAACTTCCCACCTTCGGTCAATGATTTCAAAGATGTGTTTGTACTTCTCTTCATTGCCATTAAAAGAATTAGCAATCGCTTCTTTAGCCCGGTCCATAGCTTCATAAATGTACCCCATGGGAGGCTTTTTCTCACCATCAACCAATCGAAGCACACGAACAAGAGGGCCAGTAAGCTTAAGAGAGTAGACAACGTTACTCCAAAATGAAGGCATTAAAATGATCTGTGCTGTCCTTTTGCCTTGTTGTTCTTTTGCCCATTTGCTTGTAGTCCATTCCTCTGAAGTGAACATTTTTCTCAAGTTACCTTTTTGTTGGTTGATCCTTGTTAGCGTAAGAAAAGCCGTAGCAAATCTAGTTTTTGCGGGCTTAATCAACTCCCTTGACTGGGTAAATCGTCTCATCATATTCAACAGAGTTGGACGGTTATAAATATAACCGTGTAATGCTATTCCTCTTTCAAATGTTCTCTTGAAGTTTGGCAACTTGAAGATATCTTCCAATACCAAGTCCAAGCAGTGGGCAGCACATGGCGTCCAATATAGATTGGGTCGTTTTGCCTCCAAAAACTTACCTATTAAATAAAGATTTTTTTACCAACTAGTGTGCATAAAAAAAATTCAATATAACAAGTAGTTATCTTTTTTTTTTTTTCAAGAAGCTCATACCTGCTAACACATTTGCTGCCGCATTATCAGTGACAATTTGAATCACATTAGCTTCACCAATACGCTCTACAAAATTATCAAGCAATTCAAACATTTTTTGCCCATCCTTTGAGTATGCAGAAGCATCAACAGATTCAAAGAACATGGTCTCTTTTGGACAATTCACTAAGAAATTAATCAAGGTTCTCCCTCTCTTGTCAGTCCATCCATCGGCCATTATGGAACATCCATATTTTGCCCAATCCTCTTGGTGATCTTTCATCAATGACTTTATATGCCCTACTTCTTTGTTGAGCAATGGGACCCGAACCTCATGGTAAGAAGGGGGTTTCAAACCAGGACCATATTGTCCAAAAGTTTCAACCATTGCTGCAAAACTTTCATAGTTCACAACATTAAAGGGAATTCCCGTGTCATACATCCATCGGGCAAATGTTGTGATGACTCTTTCTCTCATTTCCTTTCTAAAAGGATCGCTGGCATCAATATTCGTTTGTCTCCCCTTGGTCTTTCGATTTTGCACCACAACATTCGGATCAGGGGTGAAGTATACATCCATAGGCCCTTTTTGTCTTGGCTTTTTTGGTCTCGATGTGGCTTGTGTAGAACCTTGACTAGAACTAGTCATGGATCTTTTACGATTCGCAACAATCTCTACAATATCATCTTCATCCTCCTCTAAGTCATTAGGCATCTCATCAAAGTCGGAAACCATGTTCATTAGATTCTTCTCTTCCTTTTTTTTAGCCATGTATTCTCTAATCTCCTCCCTAACATGAGCAGGGCATTTTGGACAAGTAATAACACTCGTAGAGTTCCCTGCTAGGTGTTGCTTGACCCGATAGACACCTCCATTTGACTCTTTTCCACAAAAATTGCATTTGAACTTGTTTGTGTTTTGAGGATTTACCAAGTGTGCATATTTCCATGCCGGATCTTTTTTGTTCCCTTCGGACGACGATGCCATTTATGAATAACACTATCACACTACAATCAAAGGAACAAAACACATTCACATGTACTGAATCACATTTTATATCAGTTGTAAACAATTTTATATTGACAGGACAAAACAACAAAAGAAGCAGAATCAGGACAGCAGTAGAATGCAACAACAAAAAAAAAACAGACGACTGAGGAAAAAAAAAATTGAAGCAGCACAGGAGCAATTTCATATTGACTGGACAGAAGCAGAATCAGGACAACAACACAAAAAAAAATTGAAAACACCATGATTTAAAATTTTCAGTCAGAAAATGAAAGTATAAGATAAAACGGTTTATTTAATTCATTCTCAATAAGTAAAAATGCTTGAATCCTTTTCCACACAAATGTATCTCGCCCCAAGGCACTTGGCCTCCGCAAGAACTGCAAGCACAGAAAAGGCCCCAGGTTTACTTATGCAGGCAATAGGCCAAGAATAGGGAAGCAATACCATTCCATGTAAAACGTCAAGTATCACTGCCTGCATTCTAGTCCAAAATACCATTGCAAGAACAATTGAATCTGTATGTTAAATTTAGTTCACCTATAATGATCATATCATGTGAGAGTGAGATGCCATCAAAGCTTAATTAAATTGTATTTCGGACTGGAGTTTCATTCACAATTTTTTTTTTTTTTTTGTCTAGGCTTACATATGGTTTTAACTCACATTTTTATGGGATCTTCACATCGACTGGAGTTTGGACAGCAACATAAGGAAAAAGCAAAAAAAAAAAAAAAAACAGACGCATAATGAAAAAAAAAAAAAAGAAGCACAATCGGAGCAGAATAGGGTAGAATCAGATCAAGAAAAAAAATAAATAAATAACCAGAATCGGTGAAGGAGCAGAAGACAGAAGAAAAAAAAATTGAAGAGAGAAGAAGAAGAGACTAACCTCCACAGTCCAGACCAGCCCTCCAAACCCTCAGTCCAGCAACAACAATGGTGTAGAAGTAGCGAAAACTCGAAGCCTTGGAGTGTAGCAGTGGAGAACAGTACCGATCGTGTAGCAGTGGAGAGCAGCAATGGAGAGCAGCACCAAATCGATCGTGTAGCAGTGGAGAGGAGCACCGATCGATCGTGTAGCAGTGGAGAGCAGCACCGATCGATCGTGTAGTAGTGGAGAGGCAGCACCGATTGAAGCTATCTGAGAAAAAATAAACAAAATTAGGTTAGGAGTTTTATTTATAGGATAAGGGAATAATTCGGTACATTAACATCTTAAAATTTTTTTTGCAATCGCCCAATCCTACGGTCTAAATTAAAAATAAAATATTTCGCCTCTTATAACAAAAGCGATATCTTTTTCGCTTGTTTCGCTTTTTCGCTTTTTCTCGCTTTTTTCTCGCCTCGCTCACGTTCGCTTCGCCTGGGGTCCTCCAGGCGAGCTAGTCTCGCCTCGCCTCGCCTCTCGCCTAGGCGCGCTTTTCATAACACTGGTTATTACTTTCGTATCATACGCGATACGCATCGTAAGATATGTTATGATACACCTGAAAAATGATACGTATTGTGTCTCGGTATCGTTTTTGTACCGTATCGTACGCTATGATACACCCGATACATGATGATTCTGTTTTTTTATTGTTTTTTTTATTTTTGTTTTTGTTTTTGTTTTTGGGGTTGAAATGAGATCGTTTAAGGACTTATTTTTAAATCACTAGCTAGTGAAACGTCGTTTCAATGATTATAGTTTTAAAAAAAAAAAAAAAATTTAATGTTAATGTTGTTCAATTAAATTCAAAATTCTTGATTAATGTTAAAGTTGTTCAAGCAGTTGATGTTAGAAATTTGAATTAGAGGCTTTTGCATTTTGACATTACTGAACTATGTTGGAAACTTGAATAGTTGGTGAAATATTAATGAAATATTATGTTATTATGAGTCTATGATTTTTTTATAAAGGTATATACATATATTTTATTAATAATTATTTAAAAATTAAAATTGTGTGTATCTTACGATACACGATACGATACGATACACTATTTTTAAAAAACGATACGCCTTCCGATACACGATTTGACAACTATGCTTTTAAGCACTTTTCCTGTCATTGCGTAAGAACTTGTGAATTCCAGATTGCTCTATAGCTTCAATTATATGCTGGAAAGGTTGTATGTTCCATAGACTACGTGAGCTGTGTGGGTAGCAGCAAGTATGGCTCAGATCTTATCCATTTTGAGTCGTCAAAATCCCCTCCGCCCTAAAAATATTATGACCATTATCTGGTTTTTGGAAAAGGAAAAGGAAATTTATCAACGTCATCATCGTCGTTATGATCATCATTATCTCCTTTTGTGTGTAGCTGTGGATGTGGGTCCTGTTGAAGTCCTCTTTTTTCTTTTGGTGACTTTCATTGTCATATGTTGTTTGTACTCTTTGCCACCTTGTTAAAGACTTAACTCTGCAAATTGGATTTTCCTAGGGTGGAAAAAAAAGCAAAAAGCATTCGTCAAATCTTGCAATATATTGTATTCAAAGCATTATAAATTATTGTGAATATTGAATTGTAACAAGCTTAGCCGAGTTAATAACGAAGTTCTATGGTAAGGTTGCTCCATTGTGACTTGAACGTTATGGGTTCAATTCGCAAAACAACTGCTCCGCATGCAGGGTTTAGGTTGCATATGTCTGATTTTCTTCAGACCTCATTATGGCAGCAGCTTCAAGCAGCAGACTGCACCTTTTTAATGTTGCAATGAGGCTGGATCAAATTGCTTTTAGCTCGCTTCTGATTTAGCGGTAACCATATTGAATACATGCTAGTTTAAGTCCACTAGAGGAGGTTGACAATTTTCTTTTTCTGATGTAGAATACTATCTTGTGACATGTGTTCTGATGAATATCCCAAGACTAATTATCTTTCCTGGAGATCCTAAGCACACTTGAATATAGCGACCATGTCTTACTTTGTATCATTCATGCAAAATGGCCTTGCACGGTTGTTTGATCTCAATTTCATATGTTGCTACTTTATTTGACATAGGACATTTTGTATTGCCACAGTGATCTTGGCACTGTTTCTGCTTAATGTAACCCCCCCCCCCCTTCCCCCTCTCCCTTCATCTTTCATTTGGTTTTAAGGTTTGGAAAAGTGGCTTACATTTGAAAAACACAGGCTCTTGACTACCTTGGAAAGAGTCGTGGAATACAGAGAACAAGGGAGCTAGCAGCAAAGCATGCCAACCTTGCCTCGGCTTCAATTAATTCTCTGCCTGAGAGTGATGATGAGGATGTTCAGAAATCAAGGCGGGCTCTTATAGAGCTCACTCAAATAGTGATTAAAAGAACGAAGTAAGGAAAAATGAAGTTCGGGATAAGTTACAGGACAGGAATTTGCAGAATTTTTTTTTTCTGCTTTCTGCTTTGTTTCCTCGCCATGAGGGATGAATCCCTGATTTAATTCATGAAACATTCCTTTAATCTTTCCATTTTTTTTGTCAAATAATTGCTCTAGAAAAGGGACAGTCGAGCTGTAATTTAAACTTCCTGTAGAGTAGATATTAGGATCAGCAATGTTCACTAGCTTTTGATAATACAGCCAAGAGGACCTCATGATCTGACTTACTGTTTTCAGTATATGCTATTTTTTTGGGACGAGTACCCATTTGAAGAGTTTCCTCATCCCCACTCAGTATGCATCTATGTCTGGGTGAATGGCCATTTTCTCACCAGTAAGGCCAGGTGGGTGTTATATGGAAACTAGGCCTTTTATTTGCAATGTTGTATCCTCCTATCATTGACTACTAGAGTGGAACCTCGATGCCTTGCATCGGTATCCACAATGATTGCTCCATCGTAATAGGTTACAGCCATCATCGAGATGTCTCAGGTTATTGAGCTTTAGACCCATCCCATCGCCTTTTGAAAAAAAATTCCCAAATAAGGGTTGGTTTGATAATATTTCTCAAATCCAAGTAGTTTTAAAAACATTAGTTGGTCTGACATTTTTGGCTTAAAGATGTCAGTCAGTTGGTCTAACGTTTTTTGCCTAAAAATGTCAGATCAATTACCGTTTTTAAGCTTGAGCAGTAACATTTCAGGGGCCTTAAAAAAGTCAGTGCAATTGACGTTTTAATTAAAAAGTCAGTTGTACTAACGTTTTTAAGTTGCACCTAGACCCTGATTTTTCTCACCTCTCTCCTGTCCTTTCTTTTATTTCCCTTCTTCCTCCCATCTGAGCCCTAATTTCAGTCGAGAGAAATTGAAATCTCACCATCATCACCATCGATCATCGCCGCACCACCATCGTAGCACCACCATGCAGCACCACCCACCACCACCCAACCATCGAAGCCCCAAATCCAAGCACCACCACCATCGAAGCCCACCCCATCACCACCCACCATCTGAAAGGCCCAATCCCTCAATCTGCACTATTGTTCCTCCATTGTACCGTTGACAGCGCCTCCACCACATCCGGTGAGACCTCTTTATTTATTGAATGAAAAACAATCGCATTATATGAAATTATTGAAATATTGAAATTCTATGAAAATATTTATTATTGAAATTCAAGTGTAGCAGGGGAGTTGGTGACTGAACAGGTGAAGAATGAAATTCTGTCTGCTGGTATTTTGTTGACTCATTGTGCTGATTATCTGATATGACAAAATTCTAGGGATGGAGTCTTTTCAGTTAAAGCTGCATGGCATCTAATAAGGAAGAGGGGAGAGAAGAGCAGGGTTGCTGAAATTATTTGGAAAGTGCCCACAGCTCCTAGTGCCTAGTTGGTAGCTTGGAAACTGCTTCATAATGCTGTCTTTTGATTCCAGAATTCAGCAGCTTGGTATTCCGTTAGCAAGCAGGTGTGGTTTGTGTCTTAAGGAGATATAAAATACTGTTCATGTGTTAGTTGACTGTCCATATGCTGGTTCTATTTGGAGCAGATTTGCGGCTATTATTGGTTTTAAGATTATTGAAGCAGAAAATCCTCTGGTTAGGTGGCAGAGGATTTGTAGAATTTTTAGAAAGAATAGGGTTAGTCATAGTATTGTCAGAAGTGTGCCTTTGTTGATTTTCTGGCAAATTTGGAAAGAGAGGTGTCGCAGAAGGGCTGTGAGGATAAATTCCTATTCTATTTTCTTAAAGATATGCAGTTTGCTAAGATTTCAAGTGAGGAATGTGAAAGCTCAAGTATGTGACGATGAAGTGGGAAGGATTATGCTAAAGACATTAGGTATGTTGGATTTATCCTGAGTCTGAGAAATTTAAATTGAATGTTGATGGTGCTGCGAAAGGAAATCCTGTGGTGGTGCAATTCTAAGGAATGAGTGGGGTGGTATGGTTTTGGCGGGGTCTCTTGTATGGTGTTTGTTCCAATATGGAGGCGGAGAATAGAGCTTTGATGGATGGTCTTAGTATGGTGGAAAGGTATGGGTTTTTTGGGTACGAGATATGCATTGAGTCAGACTCAAAGGTGTTGGTTGACACTGTTCAAGACAGAATGAGATGTGCTTTGCCTTTTATGGGCATGATTGCTCATATTAAGTCCTTGCTTCGAAGGATTGGGAGTTTTATATTGCTTGCATAAAGATTTTACTATTTTACTATTTGGAATTTGGGTTTATCATGGAGATTGGATGTAAAAGGCAGCTTACCTTTTATATATGGCTTTTGGAGTTTGTTTTTACAGCTGATATGCCTGATTTGCTTCGTGTAATCACTGATTTTGTATATAAATAAAATTTTAATTTAAAAAAAAAAAGAGAGGGAGCAAAACAATTTTAAGTATCTTTGTTAGGGATAAAAATTTCAGTACGACAAATGAAATTTATGTATTTTTAAATTATCAAAATTTATTTATTAAATATATTTCATTTCTTTAATAAATAAACATTAAACATTTTAGATAAAAAAGGAGTGAGAAAAACTATCACTGAGAAGTCTGCTGACCCAACCAATATGTTTCAACCAATCCATGTAACAGTCAACAGGTCTTAATAAATTTGGTCTGCTACGTCATCGACCTGAGGTTAAACACGTAAATCAAAAATGACATTTTTAAGCTTCTTATACTGGCCAGAGTCCTATTTTAAACGTCAATTGGTTTGACGTGGTCAGCTAAAAAACGTCAGACTAATTAACGTTTTTATATGTTATCCTCAATCTAGTTAAAAATGTTAGTTGATATGACATTTTTAGGGAAAAAAAGTCAGATCAACTTACGTCTTTAAGCTTAAGAATATCAGACCAACTAACATTTTTAAAACTATATGGGTTTGAGAATTATTTTCAAACCGACCCTTATTTGTGATTTTTTTTTCAAAAGCCCGTGGGATGGGTCAGAGCTCCAGGTTATTGCATTTCATACAATTCTGTATGATCTTGCTCCATGACTTCATGGATGCATCCATTTGAGTATATGTATGTTTGTGCGTTATGTGTGTGTGTGTGGAGAGAGAGAGAGAGAGAGAGAGAGAGAGATTTTCATGTATATATGGATAGAGATGTGAACTCCACGTATGGGTTTGGGGTTGGGTGAGATATGTAATTCATTAGTCTTTGACCAGTGATCGTGCAATCTGTTTGATTTATTTCTGCTGTTCTATTATCTCCAGTTTTTTTTTTCTTTCATTTCTCATCCTTGGTGGAAGGATTTAGAGCCAAGATTCCTGGGGTGTTTCAATTCATTTGAGAGGGCAACTGAGCAAGACAACCCCCGCCCCAGGGATGGAGTCGGCTAATATCAAGGTCCAACATTTGAGACGGTCGCTCTATTAAGGAAGAAAGAAATTACTTTTCAAACAGTAATTGAATAGTGAGGTTCTCAACAATTCAGGGGAGTCATGGCCTACTTAGTTCATAACACAGTTCCGTCCCTACCCTATTACAGCTTTCCTAAGAGCATACATCTTATGGCAGGATTCAGTATGTTAGACTAGCATGAGTAATCAAAGATGTACCGGATGCGACAAGTGAACTGAGGCACCTAGGAGCAAGAGTTTCGTGTAACAAATAATAATAATAATAAAACCGACCTATCCGATAAGAGAATGAGGTCCAAAGGTCATATTGGGATGCTGTCTGGCTATAACTATTTTGCATAGTCACTTGCAATTTGAAGGCCAAGTCAGAGGTTACTGGAGCTATAGAAGTTGTTACTGTAAAGAGGGGTTAGTCTGCCGGAGTATCCCGATTCGGATCCAAGGGCAGAGGAGAACAGATCAATATACTCACTGTAAAACCCCACAGCAAAACAAATACCAGGTAACAATCAAGTAGGGAAGAAGCAGAGATGAAATAATCCACAGATCACTATCTTCACACATGCCATTGATATAATATAATACAATTAAAGTAGCAAGAGTAGCCAATTATTGGAAACCAAAAAACAAATGACAAAAAAAAAAAAAAAAAGAAGAAGAAAAAGAAAAAAGAATTAACCACAAGGCACCATCATGATCATCTCATAGCTCATCATGACCATCCCGGAGAAGAAGATGTCGGCGTACTCATTAGATTGAATTGAACACCCCAAATATGAAACATAACTTGCATAACCTGATGCATCTGTTAAACTGTTTGTACACAAGCTGAGTGAAAACCAGATTATGATAACAAAGTCGCACGATGTGATGCACGTTTGAACTACTCGTACCAATGAGCAAACCTCGGTGCATAGTCCTAGTCTCAAACATGGCCCTTTCCATTGAATGTCTCTAGATGTGCTTCCTGTTTGAGTTGCAAAACTTTCGACTGGGCCAACCATCCTCTAGCTAAAGAAGACATCTTGGGAGATAAATGCAGCCCAAGCATCCTATAGCCACATAATAAGATCACATGAGAAAGAATCATTATCAGAAGTCATATTGAATGAGAGGTCAACCAAATTAGAATTCTTAGTCTTAACAATTGTCTGTGTCACACACACAAGCTTGAGACCGTTTCAATCATGTTTCAAAGAACAGCTGATGATTTGGTGATTTTAGTTTTGAAATGATACACGTTCTTGGTAAACCACGATTCTTGCCATACTCGTTCTTGCCTCAGGGATGTCGCAGGCGAGTTGACTGACTCATTGGTGTCGAATCGCACAGTATTATCTAACATTTTTTCACGACGCCTTGATATGGGCTGATTATGGTGCTTTGTCCAACTTTTGCTCCTATCCAGCATTTTGTGTGTATCATCCAGTATCGACGTTGAAATATGGCTTCAACAGATGATAGTAACTTGCTACCGCAACAAACACGGATAATACTTATCTAATTTGCAATATCTTCATTCCTTGTTCTCGTATCAGGTGAAAACAAAAAATTTAATTCCAATCTACCGTGTCAAATTAAAATTTTGTCTGAGCCTTTCCTTACCCTGGACTCACTAGACTTCCATGTGTACTTCTAGAGGTAAAGACCGCATATTTTTCAACACTACAACAGAAGAACCATATACCTGGAGGATCGAAAATGCCTTCTCTGCAACATATTTTTGTGGGAGTGTTGCACCTCTTTGTTGCAGTTTGTCTGGGTGCAGACATAGCCTTGCTTTCTGATAAGCTTTCTTCACATGTGAGCTTTCTATGAGGTTTGTGAGAGAGAGAGGATACCAGCCACTATTTGGCCAGAGAATCTGAATGCAAGGCCAGGCAGAGAGAGTATATTTATGTAAGTACTAAGTACCATACAGGTATCATTTAAACCCTCAGATACTCGAGGACAAAGAACCGAATACCAACATTAGAGATTGATCTTACATGATGCAGAGTTGAGATCAGCAACCGGATGTTTGCTTCCTTGCCAGCTGACCACAACCTTATATCTTCATCCAATACTTCCATTTCCATCTGCACTTAGTATAAAGGCAAAAAATGAATTTGATCAAAACCTTGGTCCTTATCTCAGGAGAAAACTTTAGCTGAAAGCAAGATGCCTGCAATTTAAATTGCCCAGAATAAAGAAGAAAGCATTCATCAGTTGTCAATCAACTTATAATCAGCTGCATCGCAGCAGTGTCAATAATTTTAGGTTCTTTGGCAACGACTCCGAATCGTGAAGTCACCTGTCATGCTTGACATAATGGCTTGGAAGCATGACATAATGGCTTGAAGGATTCAACCTACCCTAACTACATAACCCCCCAATAGTTAAATGACCGTGATGTTATACTCTCAGTCTAATATAAGGGCCAAACTTTTCAATGAATCACGGGGTTAAAATCCTTAATATTGGAGAAAGTTTTAGTGCCCACAAGTTCAACTTAAAGCCTTGCCAGAATTATTATTCAGCACATGTACCTTCTTCAATTGAAAACAACTAGAGAACACAACATCAAAGCCATGCAGCAATAAAGAGATTGCTAATACTTCTATACATTAGTGTGTAGAACGTCAATGATAACACATTTTGCAAGATGCTGTATCACTCATCTATATACAGGTCTCTTTTTAGACAAGAATTTATGTATGTGTGCCTTAGAACCATAAATGTTTCCAAGTTCATCCACGCACAAGTGTGCCCCAACCATATGGTGATTCTTTTGATGTGAATTGAAGGTACTGAAATATGTCTTTGATTAGAAGCTTTCATCTTTTTCCAATTGTTTCATGAACTGTATGCGTGCCTTACATTTCATTGAAAAGTGTAAGTAAGAATGATTATTCTATGACCTGATATATGGCCTACTGGCTACTATATAGTGAGTGTTCTTCTCGATTTGGACAACTTATGCAGGAGCCAAACAGTTTGGGACAAAGAAACAATTGAGTCCCACAAACCCAGTTTCTATTGAAGTGTATTATAAAATGATACAACTAGGATCCCCAAAACAATAGAAAAGGAAGGATACAAATAAATGTAAAAGCATTCACAAGACAACAGTGATATCGCCCCTAGGGTGAAATCCGTGCTTCAGTTGCCACTGAGAGCTTACAAAAAATGCGACTTCTAGTTCTCTTTCTCATTTTCGCTTGATTTTGGGATTTTTAATTTATTCTGATTCTTTTGGTTGTCGTTATCTTACACAGAGCCCTTCTATGTTTTTCTCTTTTTGTAAATGAAAATGTATTGATTATCTCAACAAATATAAAGCTTATTGTCTGATTGCACAAAACAGAAATATACCGCTGGAGATGGCATTGATCCATTACTGTCAATCTGGTCATCTGAAAACTGCTGAGCATTAGGCCTATCTGTAGAATTTCAAAATGAAGAAACAGAAAACATTGTTATAGCATAATGAAGAACTTCTTACATCATAATCTATTACAAAAACTAGAGGAAATAGCCACTACATCACCTTCCATTTCCACAGACTGCTCCTTTTCATCTTCTCTCACGTTCCAGTCTTTCTCCGAACTTTGTGTTTGAAATTTCTCTTTGGCCCACGCAATTGCTTCATCTACGCCAAGTGCTTCACCCGTTCCTGTCCTATGGTCAGAATTAATCTCAATAACATAAGAGCTCATTTCTTCATCTTCTTCTAGCTCTGTGCATTGTTCTTGCAACTCTTTATCTTGAACTATGCCTGTTTTTTCCTCTTGGTCTTGGCAAAGTGAAGACACTACAGATGAAGGGGAGTTGAGTTCGAAGTCTTCAATGGACACTTTGACACTGCCATATGCATAGGGTTCTAGACTAATGGTCTCAGGGGATGGCACCTGCCGAGACAATCCAAAGTGGGAATTCCTAAAATTCTCATTGCACTCTTTTTCGATGTATGAAGGACAATTGCTTGGAAAAGCTGGTACACCCTGTTCACTTGGGTGTTCGACGTGCATCATAGTTGATGAGTTCCATCTACATGGAACATTTATTGGCCTGCCAAATAGAGTAAAACCTTAACATATTGCATAATTCAGCATCTTATTTTCTTACAATATCTTTTAATTTTTCTACATTAAAGGTCCATGTATTTCAAACCTTGATCTTTTGTGGGATTTCAAATCCATAAGTTATATCCTCAGTACGTAATAGTTGTCGAATGTTTCCTAAAAACCAAAATAATATCATACTAAAAGGCAATGTTGAAAGGTGCAATGGCAGAAGGTGCCACTCTTGCAATGGTTTTAATTTTTCGAACTCATATTACGCCCTTTAAAAATTCATGAGGCATGTGTCCGGAAACTGGATTTGGTCCGCCCTAAACATTTCCCGTTGCAATGTCCTCCTCCTCTTCTTCTTCTTTTTTTTTTTTTTGACCTCTTAAAATTCAACCAATACCTCTACATGATCCATCCCACAAGAACAGTATACCAAGTAAGCCTAGATCCAATCTGTAAGGATAGCACAAAGGGGAAGCATTGGGCTACCGTTTGTCCGCTTCAATTCTTCTAAGAGTCAAATACACAACCACAATCATATGATGTCCAATTATCCATAAAAAAAATTCATCAAGTCATATCATATTGTACAGTCAAGCAATGTATCTTTATCTTTTAGTACATATTAATCCAGAAAGAAATTTTATCTTCAAAATGTAGATCTAAACTATATTATCATGTAAATGAATAAAAAGAAAGACAATCTAATGTCCGAAGCTCTTGTTACTATGAACTGTAGAGTAGGTTAGATATAAACAAATTTCCTTTTAACATGCATCCACAGAAAGACCGTTTTCGCGAGTCAGAACAATCTGACTTCCCTGCGAATCTTCTCACTTTCTTATTTCTCTTTGGCTTGCCATTCACATACTCAGTCTTCCATTTCAACCCCAGAAGGGCAAAATGGTCATAAAAAGCACGCAAAGCATTTCTCGTGTCAGATCTCTCCACGTTAGATCTGACAGGTAATTAATTTTAAACTAGATGGACAATTATGTCATTCCAAAAGAAAAACAGTTAGATACGGTTACTTACACTAATGTAGTATATAGTACCTGAGCTTCGAAGCGAAGGAAGAGAACAAAACGTCGTCGTTTTCTCCGATCACAGGCCGTAGCGGACTCAACTCTTCGGAACTCAACACCGACGATGAACTCGTCTTCGTCGATTTCGACCTCGACATCGAACTCCGGACATCGCCGTCCGACCGAAATATATCCTTATAAAACTCTTGGCTCCTCCGATTATTTCCACTCGCCGGAATTCTAAACTCCGGCAAGCTGCGGCCGTTTTTTATCTGAGCCACATTTTCCGTCGGCCGGAAAACTTCCTCGTAGAATGAACCATTTGACGATCTTGAGAAGTCACCACCGGAAAATTGGCGGCAGAGTACGGTTTTCGGTGGGCCTCCGAAGACGTCGTTGAAATCCTCAGGGTCCAGCGAGTCGGAGTTGTTGAAAATGGATCGGTGAGACGTTTCTTCGGTTGATTTTCTGCGAGGAAGGTTTGGTTTATTGGTCGGCATTCCCATTCCAATTCGCATCTTCCATGACTCATCCATTTTCCGGTGAGTCTCGCCGGAGAGTTTTGCTGCAAAGTAGACAAGGCGGTAAGCACTGAACAGTGAATCGGATTGTAAGTATTTGAGTATATATAGCGCTCTCTCTCTCTCTCTCTTTAAATGTCTGGTATGAAGTAAAGGAGATGTTAACCTGATGATCATGGTTGACATGCTTTGCTCGACTGCCTGGAAAGAGGTTTGTCCCTAAAGATGACCCTACAATATAATTTTTTCTAAGGTACTGGTATGTTTTGGATTTTTAATTTTGTTAATTTCCATCAAATTTAATTTTTTATTATTATGACGCATAAAATTGATTATGCATAATTAAATCGGTCGATTAAATGGTATAAAATAATTAATGAAAAATAATAAGAGACTAAATGGTGTAAAATAATTAATAAAAAATAATAAGAGGCAAAAACCAAGTGATTGAGTCTAAATGACCTAACAACTAAAGACAATGATGATTGGAGAAATCTCATTATAAGATCGTAAAAGAGAGAGCATTAGTAAGCTCAACAATTTATAAGCATACAACCCTAATTGAAGCGGTGACGTGAAGATTAATATGCTAGCTTATCAGAGAGGCTAGCTACAATTAGGAATGAAATTTATCCTGAAGTAATGACTATCTTTTTAATTGATCTCTCACGTACGTCTACTTTTATGAATTCTTAAATTTTGAATTAAACTGAAACTATGAGTCTGACCTGCCTTTTGATAATTTGAGCTCAATCTACGAATTAGGCTGAAGACTAGTTTGAATTTGGACTCGTCAAGACTAGTTTGGATTTGGACTCGTCAGTTATTAATTTATCAGAGGAAAATTAATATTTGAACTTTTTTAATTATGTCATTTGTATCGCATTGTCTCAAATTATCGCATTTTCTCACAATACAACTTTAACTTTCGGTATTAATTTTACATTTCTCGATTTATAGACCCTAGATGCGTATTTTATTTTATGTTTAGACATTTTTTATGAAAAAATATATCAATGTTTAGTTTTGGAATAATGTGAAATTAATGTTTAGTCTGTTATGAAGTAGTATAAAGTGAAAATTCTTAAGTTTTTAGAGTGAAAAGTGCGATTCTCCTTAGAATAAAGTAAGATCAGATAATAGTTGAGGAGAAAAAAGGGTAATTTCTTTTCCTTTATTGGATTCCACTTATCTATTACTATGGACCAGACTAATAACTAAGAGGATCCAATGATGGGTCTCTCAATTGAGTCGGGTTTTAGTGTGTTCGTGTTAAAAATTATTTATCATGTCGTGTATAATTAATATATAAAATGAATTATGTTGTGTCGTATAAAACAATTTTTTTTTCAATTCATTTTGTTAATTGTGTCTTGTTAAATCCACTCATTTATTAGATAAATTACTTAAAAAGGATCCAATCAGAATATATGAGAAACTAATGGAAAGACTTGAAAGTTGATGATTAGTTGTCCAGCAGCAAGGGATTGAAATTTGAGATGCAACATCCAAATACCATCTTCATCATTTGGAGACAGAGAACAAGGTGGAGAAAATTATTAGGGTTGACAATTAGACATGTTTTAACACGATTTGCCTATATTATTAAAGTAGAAATGTAATAGTAGTAAGTTTAAATTATGGCTAGTTAGGATGATTAAACTCGATTGTAAATTAATTTTATACAATCACGTTCACGATCACATACATCTTTTACATATCATAAACCCGAATATACACGACTACAAATAGATTGTGATGAATTACAAAAATTCACATAATTTAGACGCTGCAAACCTAACATGACATGATTGAGGATATTATAATTTACAAAAGAAAACCTCATGGTATTTCTTCTCTTTTTGGCATTATTCCTTGGACATAGATAAATTTATGGGAGAAATTTGAGCCCATATTTGGTGCTTCTCTTTACATGAGATTTTGCACAATTTATAGTTACACTTTATATGGAAATGAAACACATTTAATGATTGTGTTTTTTTTTTTTGGAATATATTGGGCTTCTTTGGAGCCAACTTTTGTTGGTGCAAAACATAAGTTTGAAAAGTGAACTAAAAAAGTTCGAGTAAAAAAAAATCTTGGAACAGTTTAGAGTGCTTTCAAAAAAGTCAACTTTTCTTTAAAACTCTTTGATAATCACTATTTTTTAACTTTTCCTTGGTACTGATAAGAGTTTTTTTGTCCAAAAAAATTGATAAAAAAACCACTTGATAAGTTTGGGTTCAGACATACTAGACTTTTTTTTCTTTGAAACAAAAAAAGACTAAAGTTTTCAGTTTTCCCTAAACAAGCACATTGTTTCACACTCTTGTTTTCATTACAAAATTTCAAATGATGTTGAATAAGTTACACAAAAGAAAGATTTATACAAAAAGGTAATCTAATGCATGAGATTCTTGCACATGTGGAGTTTGATAGATCAGATATATGCAGTATTACCTCGCATGTAGCAGGGGTGACAATCAAATCTTGATGGGTCATTTCTAAGTTACGTAATTTTCTAGTGGTGTCAAGTGTAAATCACTTCTAACTCAATCCGTTCAATTAATCATGTCAGAAATTCTGGCATTAATCCGACATATTTATTGTCATATTATGTTCGAGTTAACCAATATAAACTATGAATTAAAAATTTAGCACTAAGATCACATATTCTCAACTAACCTTGTCACTCATAATTTTTTACCTGTTTAAAATATATTCAAGTATGGAGAATGACTAAAGCAAGCCAATATATATATCTCCTTTTCAATAATTCATGTAAATGCATGATAAAAAATCAATTATTTCATTTATATTATACATGTTAAACGTGTTTATCGTGTCAAATTCATGTAGTTCGTATTTAATACTAACCTGAACTATTCTTTATTCGTGTTAGCAAGTCGTATCATTTTAAGTTTCTCGAAAAAAAAAATTATATTATTTTGAGATGATGTCGAGAATTACTCAATTTTAACTCACTAATTTCATGTCGATTTCGAATCGTATTATCTTATTGTGTCCAATATTATCACTCTAGCATGTGAGGAGACTATTTCTACAACTCGAACCCTCTAAAATCCAAGTCGCAATAAAATAATTACTATTTTTACAACTCGAATATTTAATGTCGAATGTCGAAGTCGCAACAGAATAATAATAAGAATACTGAAGTGTTAGGAGCTGCCAAACAACTTTTAGGGAGCCAATGCCAACCATATTGTAGAATTGTTCTCGAGAATTTTTTTGTGGATTCACTCTATTTTCTCCATCAACAGTGATTAGAGTTTGTGATAGGTCCTATCATGCTAGATTTGTTTCCTATCTGAATAGTATAGTCATTAGAGTTTGTGATAGGTCCTATCATGTTAGATCTGTGTCCTATTTGAATAGTATCGTCACAAATTTTATTAATTTTACATCTACTCAAGTCTTGTATAGTTGGTTTTTGTCATATATAAGAAATGTATATTCATGCATCATTGTGTTCATGTTAGGTATGGCTGGTTCCACCCCAACTTATGAGTAATTCGTGTTTGAGTCGAATCCTTTAAAACTAAGCATATACCCAATGTTATCATAGTGATATCATGTTAGATTGGCATGTCGGTTACCCCTTACCCCCCCCCCCCCCCCCCCCCCCCCGCGACCTCAGGGTAAAAGATTAAGACACTATTTGATTTGTGTCTTAAAAAATAGTTTTCGAAAATTATTTTTTGAAAAGAGTTTTAGAAAAATGTGTTTTTTGTGTTTTTTTGTATTGCATAATTTGTTTGGTTATATGATTCTAAAAACAATTTCATTGAATAGAAAATAGTAAAACTTGTTTTGAAAATAACTCATAAAATAATAAAAATATAAATGTGGTGGTGGTGGATGTGGTGTCGTTGTTGGTGGTGCGAGTGTGGTGGTGGTGTTTTCTAAATTCTAAAAAAATTGTTTTTAATAACACATAAAATAGTCTTAACTTGATCTCTAAATCTACCCATTTTTTATTATTATTTTTCAAAAAAAGCAAAAACAAAAACAACTAATCAAACAATTTTTCTCCTAAAAACTGTTTTTGAAAATAGAAAAACTGTTTCTGTGATACAATCAAAACAGGGCCTAAATCTTTTCCAAATCTCTCTTTGATGGGAACCAAAGAATTCTCCAAAAATTTAAGGGAGTCTTTCAGGCTTAGATCATGATTTTTTTGTTTTTTTTTTTTTGTTTTTTGGGATTCCAAGTTTAGATCATATGATCGTGATCAAAATTAGGGAATGACCACAGGCCTAAAATAGGTATCATATCAAAATTACAACATTTAAAACTCTAGTTATAACTTATTGAGAGTTAACTCAAAAAGTTATGTTCGAAGATAAATTATTGAGATCGATCATGAAAATTATATACAATTTAATGATCAATTTTCAATTGATTGTGATCATTTATGGTCCATCACAATATTTGATACCGTAGGCTTATCCTTATCCTTAAAATTAGGAGAACTTGTCTCTTATCTCTCGTAAAACATAAGTCAAGCTTTCAATACAAATATGCATTGAAAGGTTAGGAAAAGTTAATTA